TAAAGCATGTACAAAGGGAGATGTGTGAGTCATAGGAAGAGCAAAGGAAGGATGAATAGAACCACACAATGAAGCGGCAGGAAAGAGAAGAGACAAACTATGTTGTTAGCTGAATGATGACTTCTTGGACTCAGTAGTTTACAGCCTGTGAGCNGACTTCTTGGACTCAGTAGTTTACAGCCTGTGAGCGACTAAAGCATGTACAAAGGGAGATGTGTGAGTCATAGGAAGAGCAAAGGAAGGATCGCCAGTATTCAAGCGGCAGGAAAGCGAATATACAAACTATGTTGTTAGCTGAATGACGACTTCTTGGACTCAGTAGTTTACAGCCTGTGGGCAACTAAACCATGTTCAAAGGGTGATGTGTGAGTCATAGGAAGAGCGAAGGAAGGATCGCCAGTATTCACCTCCATTTGGTCCAAGTCCATATTGCGCCACCACATCTGAGAGTGTGATCAGGTCCTCAATATTCACTGCACACTCGTACCTGAAAGAGTCAAGGGTAGTAACGTTGCAGCGTTAGTAGCAATAACAATCTCTCTGCATGTCTACCTAACAGCTGGAGTTTATCTTTCGGAGCCTCCCTCCTCTCTTTATTACTCCTTATAAAATGGGGCATGGTGTACACAAGAGCCACCCACATGACAACTCCGCAACCGTGCCCCGCATTCGTTCCTTGTGAGCTTGCTCTCATGCTTTGGTAGAGTAAGCGACTTAGCTAACTTCAGAATCGACTTGACAAACCTGACAGAAAGGAACGGCTGTGACAAACCGTTTCCTCCAACTTTTGCTGACTGACTTTTGAGGAGGATGAACCTCCACTGGGTCCAGTCTGCAATTTGACTGATTTAAACCACCAGTACTTGGCCCATACATCGGCCGCGGGGCGTTGTCGTTAACGCCCCACAACTTTCCCGGGCTCTGGGCCGATGATAAATCGCATCAACGACACAGAGTGCGCCACCGGCCTCCGAGAGTTGCGGGGAGGGCCCCGCGGCCGATGTATGGGCCAAGTACTGGTGGTTTAAGAAACACCTCACCCAAAGTTAGGAAATACCCTTGAGAGAAGCGGTCAGCTTCGATCACGTAACACCAACCTGCGTACACGTGTTGTAAACACACCACCAAGGCACTTACTGCATGCAACCCGCAAACAGCCAGTGGATATGTGGACTGAATGTGTCCAGCAGGCTTGCTGACTGCTGGCAGTGTGGAGGGACGTTGCAGGATGCAGGAGATGCAGTCGTGCAAAGAGACAATGCGGTACTCAAAATGTCTCATGCTGGATGGGCTGGTCCAGAACGACTCCGGCAGCAGCCTCAAAGACATCTGCAAAAGGGTCAAGAAGCTGCAGTACGTGCGGATCCATACATGCATCCGCTGGAAGAGAACCAAGTGGTGGAAGTTTCACGGGGAAAACATACTCCAATGTCCGTGATCTGGTCGCATACGCAGGTAAACGCGCTGTGAAAAAAACATGACAGGCAATAAAGGGCGAGGAGGAGGAATTGTACACAACACCAACTCTCTGCACGCCTCACAGACGCAAAGAGTCCGGTGGTTGGAAGTTGACCGAGTGATCCTCGCCTCTAATAAGCCATGACATGCCTAAGATCGGGTTGAACTTTGTGTTTAACAACTCAAAACAAATTGTCTCCTGTGTTTGCGACCAACATAAACGGGCACAGAGTCAATGCAGCTGTCGATGAGCTGGTACGTACAACCATCCAACTCCCTTAGGGATAGACTTGCTTAGAAATCGCGACCGTAGGCTATCACGGTTTGTGAAGTTTGGGCTGATACAGTTGCAATTGCGACACAATCAATCGAGGCACTGCAGGTCGCCTTACCAATCTGAGCGTGGGCATGCATCAGTGGAGCGACATTCTTCTCGTACCGTTGCGACTTACATCCGGACTCAACCTTTGCTATATAAAGCCTTAAACCACTAGTACCTTTGTCGGTTCGAAAATACTCGGCGTCCGACCTTTCAGGAGGCCGAAACGAAACGACGACCGTCGATCGGATTTATCAACGGCGGGCTCGGCCTACTAGTGGTTTAGGTCGACAATTTCTACTCCAGTATCTGAAGACGAAGCTGGTACGACAACCCGCAAATACTATTGCAAGTATGCAGTGTGGGTTCGGTAGGCGACCAGTAAGAGGGAGGGGAACCCAAACGAAATACCCCGGCGTCAAGAGGTCTGAACCATCCGATCTGATGACGTATTGTCTGTTCTCATCTTCCGGGGATGCAGCAGGCTGTTCATCCGATGCCTCAAAATGCCCCAAAAAAATGGAGCCGGTAGGCCCTTCACGGCAGCCCAAACAAAATCAGGAAGATTGATTGGCCCTCTGTACTTGTTGTAGATGGGTCCCAGGTAAGTTCAGATTTATTTCACTCATCTGGTTCCACTGGAAATTGAACTCAGGCCTGTATTTCAACAGTTCTTGGGTGGCCTACCAACTGGGCTAGGCCAGTCGGTGACTTCTCAGTCTTCTCCCAAATGAGATTCTCGCTTGATTTTCTGTGCATCCGATTTGCGTATCTCCTTGATTTTCTGTGCATCCAATTCACGTATCTCCTCCTTCTGGAACGCCGCATTGCATTCATCCTCGTTGAATGCCCTTCCAATAAAAGAAAATTATTCTTCACATCTGAGGATAGACTTTTGGCAACGATGTCACACTGAGGTGCGGACCTCGAGAACCATGAATTACACAAAACCCCCCACCTCTCAGAATGTGAGTCCCTGGTTGACCCATGATGTCATCTTGCTGAACAGAATACTAGAAAGTGACAAAAACCGAAGCAGCAGCCCCAGCTAACCCCGTGCCAGCAGACGCAGTAAGACAGGGGGCGCAGGTGTTATTCCGAATGACTAGGTGTGAACTCCAATGACTGTCCCCGCTTCCTTTGTTTCTGAAGGAAAAGACACCTTACAACACACCACGGACAGAACCAACACACATTGCAGTGATGGTTGTTCCCGTCTTTCAATATCTAGTTCATACACCTTGGGACATTGATCCAAGAGAGCTGAACACTGTTCACTAGTGTACCACAGTTCATACACTTGATATACACTCACTCCCTTTCTTTTAGGTACATAGAGAGAGAGTTTGAAAGCTTTTGGATGTGAGAATGAGAGAGAGGGAGAGCTTTCAATCTCTCTCTCTCTCTCTCTCTCTCTCTCTCTCTCTCTCTCTCTCTCTCTCTCTCTCTCTCTCTCTCTCTCTCTCNCACACACACACACACACACACACACACACACACACACACACACACACACACATAATTTTGCCTAAAAAAGAGAGAAGTATATAACAGTTGGATACGGGAGGCAATCGTTTGCCGGGTCCAAGTTAATGATCGCCGTCTTCCTGAATACAAGGCAAACACAAAAACGAGTCAAATAGAATTCAAGCACGCACATCACAATTAAAGCAAGACCCTTTTCGGTGTCAAACAGACACTTCATATCCATAATATTCTCAAACGAGCCACACAAGGTGAAACTGAAGCACAGGAGGACAGGAGCAGAGGAAACACAAAAGTTGATTCCTTCAAAAACGATGCATTTATTCTCACAGTCTCCATATTGTGCTGTCAGATATAGACTATGGTACTGAGGAACTATGGGACTGAGAACAATGCAAAGTTACCATCCAACCCTGGACACCCGGTCCAGCATTTTTTGGGAAAGGCTGTTTCTTTTTTTAATCTTTATTTCTCTTTGTCAAGTCTTCTCTTTTTTCTTTTTTCTTTTTTTCCCCTTTTTTTCTTGTTTTTTCCTTTTTTTTCACTTGTCCGACAGCCCCTGCAAAACACAGCCCATTAAAACCATCTTCTGCTCCTTCAGAAGTCCTCTCCGCTTAGGTGGCAGGAAATACAGCGACAGCCATTGTTTGGGAACCCGTTCGTCCGCGACAGCAATGGGAAGCCTTTCTCCCTGACGCCTGGTTGGTCATTAGTAGACTCATTACCAGCTTCAAAAGTAGGACCCATCGAAGGAGATCAATCATCCCAATCAGCAAAAGAAAATTTATCCCTTTAATAAGTTTAATTTCTGCTATTTTACCTTCATATAGCCAGATGTCAGAAAAAAGGACTTTTGCAGGAAACTTCTCATCTGCTCATCTATCTGCTGGTCCATTTTCTGTAATATTTTTTTCCCAATGCGCCCGATCGTCAGGTTTCTACCATTGTCTTGAATTCAGCCCGCATTTTCTTGGAGGGGAAAAAAAGTGACACTTCTCCCCCAATGTCAGGCTGCACCATGCTCTCCAGATGACCCACAGCTCCATACATCGGCAGTGGGCCCCTCACCGCGATTTCCAGGCGTCATAAATGCGACAAACGTCATTGATGAGATTTATCAACGGCCGCTCGGCCCCAAAAACAGTCGTGGGGCTCTAGCGTGAGGGGCCCGCGGCCATTATGGGCCAAGTACTGGTGGTTTAAAAGGTCTAACATAGGCCAATGTTCTTCTGAAATTCGATCCATCCGATCCTTGGCTGTAAGGATGCATACAGTCTAAAGAGAGAGAGAAAAGAAAAAGAAGGATGAATAAAGTGTCGGTGGGAAAATCGTTGCACTGGAATATTCTACCATACTCCCCTGTGGAAGGGCTCTCGCTCAACAGATCAAAGGTACGCCGGAGATAACAGGCTGATGACCCACAAGAGCTCATATCAACGGAGTCGTTTGGCACCTCATCATCTTGGGGTACTTACACAGTAAAACTTACACAGTGATGCGTAGGCACGAAGCTGGATATATGCTGGGAACTCCGCCGAGTATCCGACCAAATGACAAATGTGTCGGTGCAGACAATCAGCTGACCTTTTGCCAGAATCCATCTGATTGATGTCCATTTTTTCCCCATTTTGTTTCTTTGAGTCCCTTCCTGCAAATACTTAAAAAATGTAAAAATATAAAAATATAAAAAATTAAGAAACAGGTCCTTATGACCCTGGCTCCATATCCATTCTAGGGAGAGTCATTCCGGTTTCTTTCCCCCTGTCAAGTCAGGAAAGATGCATCAAATGAACAAGTCTTCCTTTCGTTTGGCCAAAGGACCCCTGACCAGCATTGATTGCTACATTCTCCATGGGAAATTGACTGTCAGTTTACCTTTCTAAGGCTTTCTTCAGATTCTTCTAGGATTCCTCTCAGCGCTCCGGCTTATGGGAGTACAGGCCCCAACATGCATGTTACAGAGTTGGGAGTCCACCCGCCTTTAGAAAGTTGGGGACTGGTAGGCCGTTTTTTTCTAACAGGCACGTGGCCTACCGGTAGCTCAGTGTGGGGCCTGGCCTTGGTCCCAGAGTGGCAAAAAACGGAAATCTACCGAATCAGCCCGGCGATTATTTGACAGGCAAAATGTTTTCCTTTTTTTTTTTTTCCTCAGAGATCACAACCTGATCTACGGACCCTCAAATTTCTAGAATTTTCTGTGAATTCTTCTGAGTGCAATGAACCTCTTAATTCAACACCAGTGAGCGCACACAATCACACCACATGCATGTACTAGATCACACGAATTTTCACACTGGAGAGCAGAAAGATGAAGACCAGGTAGCGCAGCTTATAATCTCAACAAATTATCATATGAGCAAAGAAGAGTTTCAATCACCGGCGCTCAACAGCGCAACCCAAGTATCACGTATCTTCACTCAGGTATGTCTCTCTTCCAGAACTCTTCTCACTATCTTGATCTTCTCTTTGTCTACCACCTCACTGCGTCTTCTCTCCCTACTTACATGCACTCACATATCTACTACTCAAGGATCTGCTCTGAATACACCCACTGATAAGCCTACTAACTATCTGAAGTCTACTACTAACACTCTGCACTGGCACAGCTATGGCTGCCTTCTCCCTGCCAGCGCTAACACTTCCTCTCTCTCTCTCCCTTAGCGCAGCACTCTGGCTTCAGCGCTCTGCCCTTCACTACAACACACTCAGCACTTCCGCACTTCTCGCGAATGAGCAATCTACCCGACTGGGAGGCTGCCCAGTCCTTTTGTAGTCTTGGATTGCACTTCAACTCGTGCCAGCCTCTGCTTGTTGGGGCCTGACTGGTTCCGGCACCACATCCCCACGGCCTGTCTGCTTCTGAATGTAAAAGCATGGAACCTTCCCGAATTTCCATAGGTCTGCTGCTGCTTGGGCCGCCTTTGAGTCATGACTTTTCACTTGTGAACATGACTTTCGACTGTGGGATGTGACTCCTGTCTCTGGGACACGACTCTTGCATGTGGGACTACCCTTTTACTCCTGGGATGTGACTCTTCAATATGACTCTTCAATATGAGACGTGACTCTTGCCCCTAAGATGTGACTGTTTGCTGGGTGCCTGTTGGACTGGACTGCTGAGGTACCCAACTGTGACTTTTCTGATTTGACGAACTCGGCCTCTCATGTCCAGGCCTCTGACCCTGAGATCCGAATTTGGGGTCTGAATCGTGGAAGGCCTTTCATGAGCACGAAAAATCACCAAAGTTGCAGTACTTTTTCTGTTATCCACACATAGTAGAGTGGCAAAAATGGAAATGTGCTGAATCACCCACATGCGTGTAGATCATCAAGTCTCTGCATCTCCTTCACAAGCTCCAATTTGTCCAGTTGGCTGGCCGCACGCCTTCCTCGCGAAGCTTGGCAAAGTTCTCCTTTCATCTCATCGATCGTCATCGTGCCGTACGACTTTGCTGCGACGTGATTCCCACTCGGGCATCTGAGGCGCGGCGCTTATTTCACAGTTGATTTTTTTAGTTTTTCTGATATTTTTCCTGGAGAGATCACAACCTACACTCAAATTTTTAGAATTTTCTGTAAATTCTTCTGAGCACGAAAAATCGCCCCAAGTCACCGCTCTGAAATTGCGGGACCAGGCCTGCCGGCTGGCAACGGTCGCCGGCCCCCCTCGACAAACCCGCCCGAACTCACAGGGAGGGCACTTTCCAGGAGGCGGGTAGAGGGGTGGTTTAAACCGCCAGTACACAGCCCCAGCCTTGCTGAAAAAGACACTCGTAGCGTACGAAAATTTCGGAGGCTCGGCCTACACCACAATGGGTGGCTGCGCCAGCCAGAAAAGAAAAAGAGTGCGCTGCTGGCGGTTCGGAAAACCTTGGCGCGCAGTAAGTGGCCTCCAGGCCCAGATGTACTGGTGGTTTAAGGACTGTGATTTGTCTCCAGTACAATATGGTTGTACTTCGAACGGTCACCTCTCAGGAGAAAACCATGCATTAATGCTTGAAAACAGTCTCACATAACTCTTCAGCGAACAGAAATGAACCGTACACATAACAATATTGGACATGTCAAATGGCAGGGTGGAAGGCACAAAAAGTACAAGTAAAAGCCTTTGAAAAAAGAGAAATAGCAGAGGAAAATAAAACACACACACAAGGGAAATGATGGACTGTTTCGTCAGACTTGCACCGACTCATCAGGAGGCTGAACCCTCGACAGTCTGTGGAATCCCCACATTGATGTTTGAGTCTTGATCTCCTTTAGCCCCTTATTGTATATGGACAGCCAGAAGGTGACATGCAAGGCCCGTAGACTGGAGGGCACAAGGTGTGGCAAAACAACAAAGCAAGCAGTCGGGTGGCACTCTGAGCAGCAGCAAGGCAGAAAGGCAGCAAGGCAATAAGGCAGCAAGACAGCATCAACAAGGCAGTCCAACGACAAGGAGATCGGCAGTGCTACTTGATGAGGAGCATACAACCGACCAGCAAGGCAACAAGGCAGCCAAACAACGAGGCAAGCAGCAGGGCGGCACTATGAGCAACAAAGCAGCAGGGCAGTGAGGCAACAAGGCAGCAGCGACAAGGCAAGCAGGAGTGCCGTGTGAGGAGCAGCGGGCAAGAGGGAAGTAAGGCAACAAGGTAGTGAGGCAAAAAGCCAGCAAAGCACACACAGTCAGGCAACGACGCAGCCAAGGCAACAGGACAGCATCAACAAGGCGGCCAAATGACAAGGCAAGCAGCAGTGTGACCTGATGAGCAGCGAGTAGCAAGGCAGCAAGGCCAGTAGGTAGCGAGGCAACAAAGCAGTGAGGTGACATTGTAACGAGGGACAAGGCAGCTCAACGACAAGGCAAGCACCATGAGCAGCAAAGCACCAAGGCAGCAAGGCAAGGCAGTGACGCTGCAAGGCAGCATTGAAAGCCAGACAAACCACAAGGCAAGCAGATGAGCACCAGGCACCGGGGCAGCACATACAAGGCAATTCACACCTCCAACACGGACCAAAGCAACCCATCACCTACTCACACCACAAGTAGAACCCCACAGATTGTAGGTTCACACCAGGATTGGAGCCAGAGAGTCACTTCAACAAAAGTGTGTCATCACTCACGGAGCATAGACACAGGCATCCCAAACGCAGCAGCCGCCCTAATACTATTGCAGGCACTCCAAACGAAGAGGCACTCGCCATTTGCCACATCTTAGAGGTGCTCACTTAGACAGGAGAAGCCAAGGAACGACAAAATGAAGGTTAACAAGAACAGGACAAAGTGGAGGCTCGACATGTTCAGTAATAAAGCCTCCAACATTCAAACTTATGTACGTAGTAGGATTACCTACAAGGAATGTAACATTTGATTCACAAGCATGACATTGCACAAGACATGTAAGAGTTTGTGGACACATTCTCCTCACAGAACGCGCAATTGTCACCATTTTGAAACAAAAAAACAGCCAAAAACTCTCTCTCTCTCTCTCTCTCTCTCTCTCTCTCTCTCTCTCTCTCTCTCTCTCTCTCTCTCTCTCTCTCTCTCTCT